CATCTGGACTATCGTCACTTTGAGTGTGGCTCATTTTTTCGTTTAATGACTGTTAATATATAACTATCGATGTGTCTAATTGGTTGATTCCAATTATACAAGTGTACTGGTTTGTGTTTGTATTGCTTTTCTATTCTTCTTTTTCCTCTTTTTGATGAATTTGAAGTTGTTTCTGAATCGGAAAAATATATTTGATCGTGAATGGGACAATTTTTATCAATTGATTCTTTTAATTTGTAGAGTTCATCTAAATTGCTGGCTTCTGATTCTGAAAATGCGTTTCTATTTTTTGAAAATCTTTTTCGTGTGATTTGTCTTTGTTTGTTTATGATTTTTCTTTTTATTGTTAGTCGTTTTGTTCTAATGTATCCAAATGTTTGTGTATGAGGTGTGATGACAAGATCGTATTTTTGGTTATCTATATCACAGTTGTGTAATACGATTGTTTGTTTATTTCCTAGATTTTGAATGACATAAGGTTTAGGATGAAGGATGCAAAAAGTTGTTAGGTATTTTCTATTTTCTTAGACTGTTAGTCCTTACAATTTTTTGGTTAACTTAACCTGGGTCTTTTTATTTAGGGTTGGAGAGAAAAGTATATCGATTCCGAGGAATGATTTTTTACTTTCTCGTGGCTAGTTTAAGCTAAGGTGTTAACTTACTTAATCTTACTTAGGGGTAGTGATTGTGTTCAAGGGTTGGAGAATAGTAAATCGATCCACAAGGTTCAGGTATAATTAGAACGCAAGTAGTTCGTTAGGTACTATTTTAAACTTACTAAGTCTAAGATCTATCCTGGGTCTGGTAAGAGGAGGGTTCAAGTGAAGGATGAATAACCGAAGTTCTTCACTGTTTATCCTAATTTGAATGGTTAGTTTTATTTAAAAATTTCTGTTAGTCTTGGGTCTTTTGGAAGGGTTGGATAGTGAATCGACGTTTGAGGTCGTTAGACACTTGTTAAGTAGGTGGGGAGAACAAAATTGTTCTTTTTGATCCAAGGATAGGCCTTGATGATCAGGTTTTAAATTTAATGAAATAGAAAATCTATTAAGATCCAAGGATAAGCCTTGATGATCTAATTTTAAAATTAAGTGAATATAAGATGATCTAATTTTAAAATTAAGTGAATATAAGTTTAATTTGGTATAAATTTATTTAAGAAAAAGATTTAGTTTTTTGATGATATTAGTGAGCATATGATTGCTGTTTTGTTTAGGTGATGAATCTGGGACAACAGATGATTTTATGATTACTAACAATTTATTGTCATGCTACTAATTTTTATTTTTATTTTCAATAAATATTTTTCAAACATGTTTTATATAAGACTGCAGAAATTAAGAAAACGATCTGAGATCTTTTTATCAATCGTTATTGTATATTAATAATTTTGTTTAGCGCCTGAAATGATCATGAAGATTGACTTTAAAATTTTATGTTTGCAAATAAAAATATAAATTCATTGCTAATAAGATTCTAAATATAAAAGTTTGTGTTGGCTTTTGCCGTACGATCATAAAACTATTTGGCAAGTTTCTACTTTGTCGTATGTCGTCTCTTGTTCGAGGTCTTCTTCCAATTCCGGGTAGTTCTATTCGGCTCTGATCTATTGAGTCGTAGAGACATTTCGATTAAATTATTATCGTATAACATTTTGAAATTGTTTTGTCTAAATTCTAATCTATTTTCGGTTAATTCTAAAATATTAAATTCTTATTTGAGACTTATGGTCGGACCATATGAGTTAGGACCGATGTGGTTAACTCATAGAGTAATTTCGGATAAGGTACACCGTCTGCTCGTCACGCTATCTTATTTTCGGCCGGATAGATTCGTGCAACTTCTTAGTCTAATACCAATCCTAATCTTACTCTTATATTTTCTAGTCTCAGGGTGTTTAACTAGTCTCTGCTAGGCTCAATAGATCTAGGGTATACTGGTTTGTTGCGGCTGCTGAAGTTCTCTTGGAGAGACAACTAATTTCTAAGTTAAATTCAAATCTCTCTGGTGCTGAAATTACAAGTAAATTCAGCACTTACAAATAAGTGGGTTGTTAGTTAGATGGATCATGATTGGTTAATATTAAATACTTTACAGTGGTAAAATATCTAATTTATCCAATCATAAAATATAGTTTAGATCAGGTTCCAGTATGGACAGTCCATGCTTTAGATCTTTCCTGTATTATAAATCACAGAATATTCTTGGTCACTAGATCACGCGAGCGTTTGATTTTAAGTTGACAGACACAGAGCACACATAAACCTTAATACAATATTCACACTTAATGACATATCCTAAGATCTAAAACTCTGAAAAGCTAACGAGCCAACTTGGTGTTCCTCGCCCTAATTCTCATCCTTACTTTCTCTCTCTATCTCATTCCTAACCTAACTGAGTCCTAGTGGATTGATACTCAAATCTTGGTCTCACCTGTACTCCTCAGCCTATGCTAAGTTGGTACTTTTTGTGCAAGTACACTTCGATGTTCGATTCTGGGAAGATCACATATATCAGTGCGTACAGTTTCAGCGGATGCAACCTCCCTCTATTCGGATCATACGCAGGAAGCAAGAGTTCTTTCACCACTCTCTCTGCTAAGAAATCCCTCAACCTTGCTAGAGACAAAATTAATTCTTCAGGTTCCACGTTCGGTTTTCTGTCCTTCTGGTCACCAGAAAGCACAAGTACTTCCCTGTATTTCTCACGCCGCTGGCGGTAGTGCAACTACACTCCCTACTCCTGGCCTTTGTTTCCATAAAAACTCTATGTTCTTATATTCTCTTCTAAAATCAGCTGCTATTGCTGTCCTAAAAATTTTGTCTGCGGTTATTGCTATAGCACATGTTCTTTCTGTATGTATAAAATCACTGTCTGTGAGCACTATATTGCCTGAGTACTCATTCAGCAAGCTAAAATATGACTCTACTATTCTACCTATGTCTGATTTCTTAGGATCTTCTTCTGTTCCTGCTTCTAAGTCACCTATTTCTCTTCTATTTTTTTGTTTTTGATTGATAATTTTTCAGTCCTACTCCCACCTTCCGGACAAAAATATCCATCGACGTCCCGGTTGATTGCCAGCCGGGTTTGAGTGGAGGTTCGAGGCTGGTATAAGCAAGACCCCTTGGGCAACCCAGGAGGAGTCTGGTCTATCGCTCGTCAGGTATTTTAGGCTCCCGCGATCCACGTCCTGCATTGTTAGCTTGGTCTTTTTCGGGTCCGTTGTCATCTCATTCAGCCACTCCAATACCCGTAAGTTGGTGAGGTCTTGCTCATAGGATCGCTGGAGCTTATCATCGACTTCCACTTCAGGTTTGGATCGATCCTCCACCCATTCGTGGTCTCGATTGTCGACTATGTCCGCTTCCTTTGACGCAATTTTTTTCCCTTAGGCCCACTGTTTCTTCTGTTACTTCTTAGGTCTATTCTATCTACTTCGAAATCATCTCCATACGGGTTGTACTTCCTGGCAGGGATTGCTCTGTTGCTTTGTCTTGTCTGCATGTTAAATTGACCCCTTCTTCTAGAGTTTCATTCCCTTCGTTTTCCCCTGGTGCTCTTTTCATTGACCTCAAAATCTGGCTCCATCATCAACTAATCATCATCCTTCTCCATGTCACTGTTCGACCCGTGCTTAATTTGTAAAACCGTCCCTCCTGATACATTTCTGTGATCATAAATGGACCTCTCCACTTCTTCAACAGCTTTTTGCTCCCTTTGGCGGTATAACGTTTTGAAATTCCATACTTAATCACCCACTGAGTAGGCCTTACCCGCCACCATTCTCTAATCGAATTTTTTCTCTTGTATCGCTTGAGCTTGTTGAGTATTGTTGTTAAATAGCACAGGTCATTTAACTCTTGTTGACGTCTGATCACGTCCCTGACATATACCTGTGGTGATGTCCTCTTGCCCTCATTTTGAGGATAGAAAAAGATCAGTGGCAATGCTTTCTCGTGTCCCGTCAACATCATGTGCGGACTGATGCCTGTGGTAGAGTTTTTGTACTATTGTAGACCCCCATTACTTGTGGCAGATATCTGTCCCAGTCTGTCATGCATCGGGAACAATATACACTCAGCATCGATACTAACCCTCGATTCGGCCTTTCCACTAAGCCATTCGTCTGGGGATGGTAGTTTGCCGAATGAGCCTGTGCCACTAAGGACCGTCGCATCAGCTCTTTTGTGAGCTCGCCCGCAAAGGCGGTGCCATTATCCGATTAGAAAGTCATTGGGCGCCCATGCCTGGCTATCCAAGTGTTGATCAAGTGATCACAGGTCTTCTCTGCTGAGGCCGTTATGCAGGGAACAGCTTCCGCATACTTGCTGGAATGATCGATCATCACCAACAACTGATTATAACCCCTGACCGTCATGCATAACTTCTGGTGGTCTATCTGCACCACGTCGTTGAATTCCGAAGACTCTATTGACTGCAATGAGAGTTTCAGCTCTTTTGGGTCTTTTACTTGTTGACATGACAGACAGGCCGTCACACATTTTTCACAAGCCTTTTTCATTCCGGGAGATTCAAAACGTTTTAGGATACTTTGATAAACCTTATCTATCCCTTGACGCCCAATCTGGTCAGTTGACCCAAATAAGAGTTCAGTCTAATAGAGTTGCGGCAACACTATAGCCTTATATTTATTTAGAACCTTGTCTTCATTTCTCCTTTTGCAGCCGACGATCCCGTCTTTGTTCAAGTACAAACGTTCCTCTTTCTACATGAAGTACTGTCTCAAGATCCGGTAACATTCTTCTTCCAGATCTGCGTTGTCTGGTGCCCCATTTTTGATCCATTTGTTCAAGTTACTTGTCATGCGATCATTTTTTTGCGCTTCTAGCAAATCTTAGAGTCTGTACCTCGCTTTCAAGTATGTCTTCATGACCCTCAGATAAGTGTTCAGCTCATTGAGCTGATGCGCATCATCTGGTGACCCATTTTCGATCCATCTTTTCAAGCTAACTGTCTTGCGGTCAAATCACAGCTCTCTTATTAAATCCGAGAGTCTGTATCTCGCCTTCAAATATGTCTTCTTGACTCTCAAGTGACTGTTTAGCTCATCGGGCTGATGTGCGTCATCTTTCATCTTAACACACCAAATTTTTGCCAATGGCTCAGTGTCTTGTTTGAATGGTTGAAGATCAGTCCTGACTACTTCCTTCTGCGGTGAAATTCTCATCGAATGTTTCCACACCGCTTTTGTTTCCAGGTCATCCGCCGCGTTATCGAAGACTTTCTCACTCGGGACCAAATAACGATCACTATCAGGGTCTAGATACACTTCCCTATCCAAATCTCTTGCTGGTGTCTCTACAAGTAATGGGTGGATTGCCAGCTCTGACAAATCTGATTCCGCGCTCGAATTGCTGTCTGAATACGTGTTTATTTCAGATTTCTTAGAGGAACTACTCACAGATGAGTGTGCCGTGGAGCAAGTCTCTACGGCAGATTCTGATGTGCATGATCTAAACATCCATTTGAACTCCCCGGACAAAAATTTCCCCCTCTGTTCTTCTCTATCTCCTGATGCACTTTCTTCGACGTCCGACTCCCCGGAAAAACTTTCTTTCCACAGGGGCTCCGACCCAGCTCTCATCAGTTCTTGATCAGGCTCCTCGAAGGTGACTGTCATCCTCCGAGTACCGATCTCTTGTTCTCTCTCCTTGTATGATATTCTCATTGAAAAGTTTTGTGGAACTGAGGATACGAATTGCTAAACTATCGGCTTACATTCCCTTTCGTTTACTTTGTGCTATCGTCTTTATGGTTTTATCCTTACCCTCTCACTGACTGTCAGTGAAGCTATGGCTGCTGCCCATTCAGGGTCATCTCTAGTCACTTCTCTCTCCAACAATCCAACCAGCATCCGCATCACTTCTGGTGTGACCTGCACCATTCTATCTAGCAGTGAGAGGGTTCATGCGAGAGAGTTCATGTTGAACTAGGTTTGAACGTAGCAACAGTTCCAAGGGCACCGGATCCCTCCTGGACAAGATCTGAATTTCTGCTGCTTTCTCCACTGGTAATTCAGAATGACAGGGAATTGGATGTCCTGATTTATCCAACCATCTCGTCAAGGGCAGTGCTTTGTATGTATCTTTGTCTGAAAATGAAACTCCTTCTTTGATTTCCGCTTCATTGGAAATCAAGCGGAAATGTTCCAATGTTTTGTAATATATAAATTTTTTGCTGAATTCAGCATCCAGGTGCTTGGCTACCATATGATTATCCAGCATAGGATGAGTGAAAAGCACGAGAATGCTGACAGCCTCAGCAAGAAAACTGAATTTTCCGAAAGATTGGAACAGAAGCAGGCCAATCAAGCGGAAATCAAATAAAGATTCTCATTTTTAGACAAAGATACCTACGAAGCATGTCCTTTCTAAGACTGAATCGTAGCTTGCAAGTGGAAAGGCGAAGAGCAGGACCCTTAGAAATACGATTAGATTGTTCTGCCACAACTATATCAAACAGAATTGCTGTTTCGTTCACACAAACAGATGGGGCATCAAGGCGTTGATAAAGCTGACACTAGAATACAGAAGCAATTCAAATGGCCTTTACTAAAAAAAACATGTAAAAAAGGGTGTCTGCATGCTTATCAAGCCGACTGGCAAAGGACCAAGGGAAATTGAGGATTTCCTCACAATCACAATTTCATCAGGATTCAACAAAATAGTACAGATGATGGCTGCGGGTTATAATCTGTATGATGGCTGCGGGTTATAATGGAGTGCTAGCAATAATTAATCGCTTAAATAATTTTGCACAGGTAATCCACTGAATAACAGCATCGGCGGATGGAACGTGTGATCATTTGATAACAGTCTGGTTTGACAGACATGATTGTCTAATAACGTTCCAGTAAGACAATGGCAAAGCATTTGTTGCAGACCTTACAAAGGATTTGATGAAGGCACAGGCTCAATCGGCTACCTACCATCAACATACCTTAGCCTAGTTGAGAAGCAAAGTCGCATATTATTCTGCATGCAGATTTTTATTTTTACGGTACATGGATGACAGGGACAAGCATCTACATTAGTAGATGAGAGCATATAATAGCACAGAAAAAACCACCACTGGGGTCTGCCCACATATTCTTTTATCCGGAATATAAAAAAGACAGCGCTGCAAACCTAAGTCCATGACGCCATTAAAAGGAAACCAAACTTAATGATCTCTGCAGGCGAAAAACGCAGCAGGCACAAGCAACGCAGAAAAAGAGGTTTGATAAAAGTACCGCGAATTCTAAAGCATCATCTGTGGGAGACTACCTTTGGGTCTTCAATGAAGTGGTTCCACCAAAGGGAACAAAAAGCTGTTAAAAAAAGGTGTGGTCCATTTCAAAGCACCAAAGTGCATCAAGTTCGCCGTTTTTGTTGATTCAGAACCGGACGCCTTGCTCGCTAACAAATCATCAAGCTACGCACTGTTTCGTCGGAAGATTGGAGCATTTCAGCAGATATGCATGAAGATGATTACTTGATAGTCGATGCTGCTTTTGAAATGAATGAAGAGGAAATATGCGACAAGAAACGATGTGGTAAACGATTGCGACCTGTCAATGCGTCTATAATTGAATTAACGAATGAAGGTTGATGGTGAAACTTGATGGTGGAAAATTGGAATAAAGCGGAGCAATCCAAAAATGCTAAAGTGGTAAAATCCAGACTTTCCCTTGGTTATTGGGACTCGGAAACACAGAGACGCTGGGAAGCCAAAATGTACAGCCGATACGGTGTTGTTTTTGTCGTAGAGAACATCTCGGCTAACGGAAATGTATAGAACAGTGGTGCCAGGAGCCAGAAATTGAGTTCGAACGTGTACAAAACAGACACAGATCACAAATTAGTGAACCTGAGGGTGCTTGAATAGCTCCATGCTCACCTACCTGCTGATCCCAAGGAAACAATTCTGACAAGTCAAGAGGTCGATCAGGCCAGCGTAAATACATGAGGCAAGACAAAACCGAATCCAACTGGGTGGTTTCAGATGCACTTCTAAGCATACCTGAATCTGACTTCGATAATTATAGACAGAAGAGGGCAATTCTAGAAAACTGGCGTTCGTACGAATCTTTGATACCTTTTTGGCCAGCATAAAATCATTACTCGACTCACATGGTAGCAACCAACAGCGACTTCATACTTACTTTAAGTACATGCACCATCGCGATATTTGCAAACGTCAGTTTTAAAACAGCCTTAGCGGCCGACTTTTGAAGATAGTAAAGAATACCGAGTTTTCAAGGAATAACAGACCCGATATAGGAGAAACGATAGCGCGGCCCCCTGCTGCATTATAGATACCGGGCAATTACTAAGGTTTTATGTTAAATATAGATACTAAAAGACAACACGTGAACCGGGAGAACTTTGTACTGGCACTAAATTGACTCAAAGAATTTTTAGTTGAAAGAGTAGTGGCCTCACTCTCCCTGAAACTGCAAGGTCACAAGATGTTTTCAATTAAATTTTGTAGTGTTTTTGTTGGTTAAATTTTTCAAAAACTATGAATAAAGCACTAGGTTAAAAACTAAGTATTGTGATTCATATAATAGTGTTTTGTAAGATATATATTTTGTTTTGTTATGTTTTTAAATTGTTTTGATTTTATTATTAGGTTGCTGTAATGATTACTTCAATTGTGTTAGGTTGTGTCAAATTGTCTGGACTAATCCAAATGCTTAAGTGACAGCTTCAAAACCTTTTAATTTGATGTAGACCGATGTTTTAACAGATTGAATTAGTTAATCCACCTTGGTATAAATTTGAGATAAAAAAAAGAAAAATTTCAATTGATTCTTTTGAAAATGGAAGTGATGTGAAAATGTTTTATCGCATAGATGAAACAGGTCGAATAACGATTTCTGAGTTGTCACATGTTTTTTAGGTCTTGATGTTGTTTATTGAATTTAGGTGGGATACCAGAAGAATCTTCACGAATGAGAATGAGCAAGACTAATGATCTGGTGATTTGATCTCAGCGAGCCTAGAAACTGCTCTAGATGATGTATAACAATGACTGCTTGGTTGCAATTGTGGACTGGAGGATCCAAACTGGCATTGCTAAACGCTATGGAAAGAGAGGGACGTGGGAACAGTCCCATGGAAGTGGTGCTTCTGCTAGTACTCGGCGAGTCTGGTACCGCCAATAGAGGAAGCAGTAGATTGATGCGATGGCAACGTGGAGGTGGAGCGATGTCTGGTCACTAATTAGCTCCGGCGCCGGGCTTAGGTGAATAGAGTGATTTTGAACTTGGGGAAATACCCCTACAAGTTCGATCTAGCTCTTTAACTGAACCTTTTTTTAGATCACGTGATGGGCCTAGAGCTCACATTTGGCATATTGCACAACTGAAGCTCCACCGTTGAAAAAAGCGGAGGTAAACTCCTCGGATACGTACCTTACACCACATTTCCCAGAAAAAATGAACGAGTGGCTAAAGCGACAATGGAAGACATTAACAGAGCGCGAGAAATAGCGCTAGACAAAATAATCATTCCTTCCAAACCCACAGACCACTCACCAGCCAGGCGGAGGCGAATCACAGAATCCGCTGGCTCGTCATGGAACAAAATTAATGCGATGCGTAGTTGATATCTGTAAGGAACTCAGCGCTTGGAATATTTTGTCCAGGTGGCTGCGGACCACCCAGGGCCTTGTTTGAACGACATGAGCTGGAAACCCGCGGCGATTCATCAAAAGACTCCTTCTGGCAGACGCTAATTGATCATCGGGTACATCCTGTTGAAAGACTTGAATGAATTTTTTGTGAATGGTGAAATCACAGACGTCTTTTTAGTGGAGCCTCCGTGGCTCATTGCTCATACCTTTAATGGTGTTTTTGTTGAGTTTTTTTCTCTCCAATCAACTTGCCATTCCGATTTAGCGGCCCTTTTTCTCTCGCATGCTGATGGATATCCGACAATGATCTCGTGCTCAAGTGTCCCATCGGGTTATTCCGAGGCAACTCATCGATGTCTACCAATGTA